AATTCCTGTTGTTTTTTGGTTTTGTGTTCATGGTGGTGGTGGTGGTAGTGTATGTGTGTTTCGTTTTTTTTTTGGGGGGGTTTGCTGGTATGAGATTATCTATTGCCTGTGTTTTCATGGGTGTAGCTAACTTCCTCAGGTTGGAGTTTTCCTTCTATTACTTTCTGTAGGGATGGATTTGTGGTTAGGTATTGTTTAAATCTGGTTTTGTCATGGAATATTTTGTTTTCTCTGTCTACGGTAATTAAAAGGTTTGCAGGATATGGTAGTCTGGGATGGCATCTTTGGTCTCTTAGTGTCTGCAAAATGTCTGTTCAGGATCTTTTGGCTTTCAGAGTCTCCATTGAGAAGTCAGGTGTAATTCTGATATGTCTGCCTTTATATGTTACTTGGCCTTTTTCTTTTGTAGCTCTTAATATTCTTTCTTTATTCTGTATGTTTAGTGTTTTGGCTATTATTTGGTGAGGGAACTTTTTTTTGTCTCATCTATTTCGTGTTCTGTAAGCCTCTTGTACTTTCATAGGCATGTTGTTCTTTAGGTTGGGAAAGTTTTCTTCTATGACTTTGTTGAATATATTTTCTGTGCCTTTGAGCTGGAATTCTTCTCCTTCTTCTATCCCTATTATTCTTAAGTTTGGTCTTTTTATGGTGTCCCAGATTTCCTGGATGTTTTGTGTTAAGAATTTGTTGGATTTAATATTTTTTTTGACTAATGAATCTATTTCCTCTATCGTGTCTTCAATGCCTGAGATTCTCTCTTCCATATATTGTATTCTCTTGGTTATGCTTGCATTTGTAGTTCCTGATCATTTATCCAGATTTTTCTGTTTCTATAATTCCCTCAGTTTGTGTTTTCTTTACTGACTCTATTTCAATTTTCAAGTCTTGAACTGTTTTCTTCACCTATTTTTCCCCCTCTTGGCTTTCTTTAAGGGATTTATTGAGTTCTTCCAATGTTTTGTTTATCTTTTCCTCCATTTCTTTAAGGGAACTTTTCATTTCCTCTTTAAGGGCCTCTATTATCTTCACAAAGTTATTTTTAAGGCCATTTTCTTCTGCTTCATCTGTGTTGGGATGTTCAGGTCCTGTTGTAGAACCACTAGGTTCTGGTGGTGGTGTATTGCTCTTTATGTTGCTGACTGTATTCTTACACTGCTGTCTACCCATCTGGGTTTGCAATAATTATAGGAACAGGTGTTGATTCTTCCTCCAGTCTGTGCAGGTGGAGCCTGTGCCTCCAGGGGGGCTCTGACTGCTGGGTATGGTGGTGGAGTGGCCTGGTCACAGGAGTCTTGCCTGCTGGATGGCTGCTGGGGCTCTTCCTCCAATTGGTGCAGGTGGGGCCTATGCCTCTGGGGGCCTCTGATTCCACAGGGGATGGTGGTGGCTGCAGGAGACTTGTGACAAGCATCTTAATGAGTCTTTTCTTTCAGGAACTCTGGATTGAGATTTATAATATAACTACATTTTTCCACCTTCCCTTTCCTCTCTCCAATTCCTTCAATGTACTCCTCTTGGCTCTCTTTCAAATTAATGGCCTCTTTTTTTCATTATTAAGTACACACACACATATATACACATACTTTAATTATAAACACATACACACATATATACTTATATATTTGTTAATTTAAAGGGTTGTTCTTCAAATTATTATGAAATCTTTTGCAGTGATACTTTATTTTTTTAAAATTTTGTAATTTTTCTTCATCCTAATATTTTACTTATTCTTTGAGAATTTTATTTAGCACATTTTTATTATATTTCTTCCCATCCCCCAACTCTTCCCACATTCTCCTCCCATACCCTACCCACCCAACTTCATGTACAATGAGTCTTAAAAGTTCTTATTAATAAAATCAAACCTGAGCCAGGTATTGGGGTGAACTGGAAGATCAGAAAACCAGAACAAGCCACAGCTACCTCACCTCAACAGATCCTCAGCTGGTCTTATTTCCTCAGACTGGAAGCCTCTGAGTCCTCATCCAGAATGAGTCTCAGCTGAACTGTGCTGCTCAAAACCTTAAAGCTTAACCAGCCAAATGCTTCTAGTTTCTGGTCTTCACGCCCTATATATCTTTTTGTTTTTGCCATCACTCCCTGGGATTAAAGGCTCACTTCTTGGGATTAAAGGTGTGTGTCACCATGCCTGGCTGTTTCCAATGTGACCTTGAACAGATGGATTTCTGCCTCTGGAATGCTAGGATTAAAGGTGTGTGCTACTACTGCCTATCCTAAGTATCTAGTGGCTTTTCTGTTCTCTGACCCCAGATAAGTTTATTACAGTACACAATATTTTGGGGAACACAATACCACCACAACTTCATGTTCTTTTCCCCTCTTAATATAAAAGAAAAAAGAAAAAATACTAAAAATCATGGAGTCTAATTTGTGTTGGCCAATTATTCCTGAGCATAGAGCCTGCCCTGAAGTGTGGTTGATACATCCAGAGTCACTCCATTGAAGAGAAATGGATTTCTCCTCTACCAGTAACTGTCAGCTGTGGATCTCTTCTTTGCTGAGTGTCCACTTCCCCTCCACTGCACTGAGATTTAGATTGACTTGAGCTTGTACAGGTCTTGTGTGTAGATGTTGTTAGTTATTTAGCTGCGTTGTGTTCTTACCCTGCAAGGAAGAGTCACGAAACACGACAGAATCTGCTTATAAGAGTTTATTAGAGATAAAGGGATAGAGAGTGTGCAGGCCTGTGGGAGAGACACGTGTGTGGAGAAGAGGAAGAGGAGAGAACCGGGAATATGGCGCTCTGCTTTAAAAGCGGCTGGGGGCGTGGCCAGGTCACGTCACTACTCTAGGCGTGTGCATAGATCACATGGTCACGTTGCGCGCTTACGTGGCCATGTAATGTCACAGATCCTGGTTATGCGAGACGCCTTGACCCAGAAATGGCTATCTTGACCTGGAACTGGCTAGGCGGAGGTGTCCAGGTCCACCAGGTATCCTGGTTATGAGAGACGCCCTGACCCGGAAATACCTATCCTGACTGGAATTGGCTAGGCGGAAGTGTCTGCCTGGTATATGCGACCGTGGGGGCGTGTTGTGAACCCTTCAGATGTAATTCTGAATGGTTTTATTAAATTAGAAACACAGAGCCAAAAGCAGAGTTAAAAACCCCAGAGGTCAGAGAGCAGTAGCCAAGAGCTGAGACCAAGACCGCCTTCTTACCAACCCATGCCGTTGCCGTCCTTCCCCTGAGAAAGAGACCTACTTCCTGTGTGTCTGTCTTTTTATTGACTTTCTGTTCTTCCTTCTTATTGGTTGTAAACTCAACCACATGACTTCCTTGTCACTGCCTGTCTATACAGACCTCCAGGCCTCTATGGTTGGTACTTGGATTAAAGGCCTGTGTCTCCATGCTGGCTATGTCCTTGAACACACAGAGATCTGCCTGTCATGTGATTGGAATTAAGGGCATGTGCTACTACTGCCAGACTTCTGCTATGGCTTGCTATTAGCTCTGACCCCCAGGCAACTTTATTTATTAACATACAAATAAAATCACATTTCAGCACAAATAAAATATCACCATACTGGTGCATGCTGCCACAGTCTCTGTGAGTTATTTGTGTACCTGCCCTACTGGGTCTGGGAAATGATGTTTCTTTAAAGTCATCCACCATTTCTGGATCTTATCATCTTTCTGCCATCCCTTCTGTATAAAACCCTGAGCTTTGGGAGGGGGATGTAATAAAAACATCCCATTCAGGGCTGAGCACTCCAAAGTGTCTCACTCTCTGCAGCTTGTCTAGCTGTGAAACTCTGTGTTATCACAGCAAGAAACAGCTTCTCTGATGAGAGCTGAGTGATGCATTGATCTTTGGGTACAGCACTATGTCATCAGGAGTCATTTTTGTTGCTATATTTTTTGCCAAATAAATAATAGTGGGTTTTCCCCTAGAGTCCATGATCTATCTAATCTCATGTTCTTGGTCTAATTAATATTATGCATGGGTTCCATCTCATGGAATGGGCCTTAAATCCAGTCAAAAAGGTGATTGGTTATTTCCATAACAACTATGCCCCCATTGCACTGGTGGACATATCTTGCAGGCAGGCAGGTCATTTCTGTAGTTTGCAGGATCCATAGCTGGGTAAAATTGATAATTACTTTTATCCTCCATTACTGTATATGTCACTTTCTCATCTTACTACTGGGACATCTTATTCCCTTAGACCCTCCTGAATACTACAGGTGACTGCCAGTGCTTGGTTAACCCCACAGCTTGATGGTAAGACCCTGTTGCTGAAGACACGGCATGCTTATTGCACAGAGCACAGAAAAACTGAGCTGGCAGTCAACAGGAAACTGCATCCATACTCGCTAGCATTCATTTTTATCGTTATGTGTCTGAGTGATTTTTGTATTGATCTGCTCTTTAATTATAGATTCTATACTTCCAGAAGAAACTTTACTATTGATGAGAATGACTTGCTCTTTCCTTGCTTAAATTTTGTGTCTAGTGTTTTCCCATCAAGTGTGATGCTACCCTCTTAGCTAAGAAATCTATAGTTTATCATTTTCAGTATCTGTTGATTATTGGGTATTTATATTGACTTTGATTAAATGTCTCTACTATTTATGAACATGCTTGTTTCTCCCTGTGTATATCAAACCTTTAATATTAAATTAGTTAGAGATCAATAATTTTGAGTTTTTAACAATGGAGCATCCTTGCATCCAGGAATCAGTTTTTTTGTTTTGTTTTTTTTTTTTTTTTTGGTTTTT